CAGAGTCAACTACCATGAGCAAGGTGAAAAAAAAAAAAAAATACGAGGAATGTAGCAACCGTGTAGAGATACTACGGGAATAAGGGAAACGAGCCATGTAGAGTCTGAAAAAATAACCCAATCTAGTAGAAATTATAACTCAGGCAATTCCTCAATATTGCTTCATGTAATGGAGAATTTAATGAGAACATTAATTTAATAAGGTAGAGAAAAAAGAAAAGTATAAAACAACAGAATGAGGTCTATAGGGGTATGCAGGCCTGAAGTAACCAATCAGGGCTCTAAGTAGCACCTGAACAGAACTAATTAAGACTTGTAAGCAGTATCAGATAGAATTGCCATTGCTGAATGCTGAATTCCAAGTCCACACTCTCTCCCTAAGAGGAAATACCCAAATCCAAAAAACAAAGAAAAATTAGAGGGTTTTTCTTTGTACCCTCCTCCCCCATCAACATGATCTGTCCTGAACAGATATAAAGTTCTTTATTTAATTTGTGTATTCATTTTTATACTTTGCATGAAAGAAACATTAAGAATTTTGAGTACTAGGTACTAACCCAGACACTCAGAGAGTATTATGCAATATATGGAATACACATTTGTTCTTTTTTAAAATGTGAAATGGTTTTGAATTCTGAAATATATCTAGCTCTAGGGTTTTAGAAAGGATTGTGGACCAGTGATAAAATAAGCAAAGCCACAAGTAAATTAAAGAGAAAGAGATTAAAGTAATAAAAAAAAAACTTGGAAGCAAGAAAAAAAGGATCCAATATAAAGATAATTGATGTTTCTGAAAGAGGGAAACAAGCAAGGAGAACAGAACTCTATTCAAAGACCTAATACAAAAAAATTTTTCTGCCCTGGCCAGTTTGGCTCAGCGGTTAGAGCGTCGGCCTGCGGTCTGGAGAGACCCGGGTTCGGTTCCCGCTAAGGGCACATACTTCGGTTGCAGTTTGTCCCCGGCCCTGGTTGGTCGTGCGGGTGGCGGCCACTTGATGTGTCCCTTCACGTCAATGTTTCTATCTGTCTCTCCCTTCCTCTCTCTCCCTCCCACTCTATCTGTACAAAAAATGGAAAAATATCCTCAGGTGAGGATAAAAAAAAAAAAAAAAAAAAAAAAAATTTTTCTGAAATAAAGAAGAAAATGTTCAAAAAAAAAAATACCGTCAGAGGAAAAATTTATATGAAATATTTAATCCTCAAAAGGTATGACCTTCAAAGATAAAGAAGAATTATTTAGGCAGCCAAGCAAAGAAAAAAAATTAATTTATTTACAAAGGGGAAAGGATGAAATTGTCCTCATACTTCACCACAGCAATATTCATTGACCTAAACACTGGAGTAGTATCAACTAAATTCTCAGGAGAAGAGAATATTGTCCCAAAACACCATAGCCAGTCAACTATCAGTTGAATGAAAAGGCAACAGGCTATCCTTCTCAAATGTGAAATATATCAGGGAACATAATACTCGTGAGTCTCTGAAAACATATTGTTTGACAATTTATCCAACAAATTAGTTGTTTAGGCTAATAAAAATTCCAGAATGGAGAAGTTAGGTTAAAAGAAATGGTGATGAGTAGGGACTCCATTTAAGATTATTTCTTTCAAGTTATTTATAGAACTTAACAAAGACTACATCACACTGATATTTCTTTGATCCTCCTGAACAATCTATGAACCCAGGAGTGCCTTCATTCCAGTGTCTTGCTCCCATTTTCCATCTTATGGTTGTCCAGTATCTTAGTTTTCCTTTTTTAAAACATTCCTTCTGAAACAATCACTCATTTTTTTAGTCAATGTTTAAAGATGTTGACAAATGTTTTTTAATTTCTTTGCTCATCTCTGCTTCTCGTATCCCATTCATTGGATTTCCTCCTTCCTTAAACATTGTCCTTTTGTTTATGTGAGGGACATATATTTCAGTTTTATTTTGTTTGAAAATATTTCTATTTTGCCTTCACTTTTTAATAATCATTTCACTGAGCACAAAATTCTCAATTGATGTTCCTTCAGCACTTTGAAGTTATTTCATTATTATCTGGTCTCTGTTGATCTCTTCAGATTTATTGCTGTTCATTTGTAGGTAATTTAACTTTTTTCTCTTTGGTTACTTCAGGGTCTTCTCTTTCATGATGATGCTTCTGAGTGTTAAGTTTTCTTTTTCCTTTCTCTTTCTTCCCTGTTCTTCTTTTCTTTCCTCTCCTCTTCCTTTCCTTTCCCTGTTTCATATCCTTTCTCTTTCACATTTTGCCTTTTATTTCCCATACGTAGTCGTCTAGATGACCTTTAGAATATCTCCCAATTAGGAAAACTTAAAAGAGAACTGGAGTTTGGATTGGAATTTTATTTAACCCAGTAATTAATTCATCTGGAAAATTGATGTTTTCAGTATGTTTAATATTCTTACTTAAAAACATGCTATTATTACTCACTTTAAAATGTCTCTTTATAAAGTTTGCTCATTTATCAAATCATCTTAATTGCACAATTCTTGTAAGAGTAATATACAGGTCTGCTACAATTTTGTTTCTTGTTTGGATAATTTTCTTTTAGAAAAAAATATCCACACTTTCTCCTTGGTTATTGCTGCACTAAAGTAATATACTGGTTTTTGTTATATTTTTCTATCTGGATAGGTCAAACTTTACATCGTATACAGGAAGTAGCTTGAAATTCACAACTTTTTATCCTCACCCAAGGACACTTTTTCATTCTTTGTTCAGATAGAGCAGGAGGGAGAGAGAGTGAGAGAAACATCGATGTGAAAGGGACACATTGAGTGGCTGCCACCCACACGACCAACCAGGGCCGGGGACAAACTGCAACCGAAGCACATGCCCTTAGCGGGAACCAAACCCGGGTCTCTCCGGACCGCAGGCCGACGCTTTAACCGCTGAGCCAAACCGGCCAGGGCGAAATTCACAACTTTTTAAAAAAGGGATGCAAACAGCAGAGATTTAAAAAATGCAGCAAAATCTGTTTTTAAAACAAAAGATTTTATTTTTTAGAAAGTTTTAGGTTTACAACAAGACTGAGAGAAATGTATAGAGCTTGAAAATTTTTTTTAGGGACAAGTATACTTTATTAGACAAAATTAGCTGATATTTTATTTCCAAATATACAGGCAACAAAAATAATAATTGAAAAATAATAATTGAATACAACTAAGGGAAAATCTTTTCATATATTACATTTTCCTGCTAAAGTAAAGATTTAGTATTTACATTTGACTTCAGAAAGTTCTAATTGTAAAGATTGAATCAAACTTAAATGGGAAAATAAATATGCAGAATGACTGGGTATATAGAATTAGTATCGTGTGAATGATAGGCACTAACCAATACTTAAAAGATACTGAGAAACTGCAATGCAGAGTAGTAGTAATATTTTTTGAGACATCGGGGAATGTACCCAACTTTTCTCCTAAAGTATATTTAAAAATCACAGAATCAATGTCAATATCTGAGGATAAAGTAGAAATGATCAATTTATAATTTAGAAATATCTCAAAGAGCTTACCTGGCTACCTGACTTTATAAAAATAAATCAGACCAGTTTAATTCTCTTTTATGGCAGAATGATAGCATTAAGCATAAGAAGCATCTTTAAATATTATCTATTTTCATTTCAGTGTTTTCGTTTTTCCTATTGTATATGGTATGCTGTTTACAGCTAAGAAAATATGGGGTGGTGTACTGTTCTCAGTGGGAGATGTTGCCAACCTGTTCCCAACTGGAAGCTCATAGTAACAGGCAGTTACAAGAATTCATGTTGGAGTTCTTTGGATTCAATAACATGATTAAAAATCTAAACACAACTTTTGACATATTACTCATTAAATCTTTAGATAGTACTAAGCTAAATGCTAATATTAGTCTCTGATGCTAAACTTCAAAACAATCTTGAAATATTAGAAAGAAAATTTCTAAAAAAGTAACCAGTATTAGCAGAGAAAACGATAAGATACGAGGAACACCCGTGGAAGGGAAAGGGGCTCAAGAGAATACAGGATTTAAATAAAATTCCAATATGTTTGTGAGGCAGAAGGTGAGTTGGAGTCTAAGTGTCAAAATGATCATAGATCAAAATGTTATAGATAACAAGTATTTGTTAAAAGAAAGAGAGGAAGAAATAAGAAAGGAAGATAAGACAAAAAAAAGGAAAAAAAAAAAGACAAACAGAATTTAGCTGTATTGAAAAGCATATGACATGTCAGATCTAAAAAATCACTCTGCTCAATCCTTGTCATGCTTCCATTAGAATATGATGTCCCGTTTAGTCAGCTCTTTTTAGAAGGACGTGAAGAAATGGAAATGGGTTTAACAAAGAGCAACAAGAATGATTGAAGGGCTACAATGTATATCCTGGGCAGTATTGTTTGGACTAGAGAAGGGGTGGGAAAGGGATTATGTTTGTGTCATTTTCAAGTATATAAAGGATTTTTGTGAAAGATAAGCCCCGTTGGTGATTTCTTGGGTCTATAGGGGATGAGAAAACCACAAAGGAGCTTAAGTTGAAGCAGAAAAGATCAGGTTTGGACACAAGGCAGATGCCTCTGCCATCAGGGTGATGGAAATTTGAAATGATTCTACCGAAGACCATGATCCAAGCTGTCACGCCCGTCTCCATGTTGGATGTACCGTTAAGCATGAATCTTTCCCAGGTTTGGGAAAGATGGTCTATATCAGTGGTCAGCAAACTGCCCTCTGGCCCACTGTCTGCTGTTGGATAGCCCATGAGCTAAAAATATCTTTTACATTTTAAAATCATTGGGAAAAAAATCAAAAGAAGAAGATCTCATGATAAAAGAAAATGACATAAAATTCCGTTTCAGTGTCCACAAATAAAGTTTTATTGGCACACCACCACACCCACCCATAGTTGTGACTGAGACCGTGATCCACAGAACCTAAAATCATCACTGTTTGGCCCTTCACAGGAAAAGTTTCCCAAGCCATGACCTATATGATTATAGCCACTTTTTATTATCTCTGAAGTCTAGAAGCTCGCTTTGTTGTAATAAAAGTGGACTCCCCTGGGGTCGGCTGAGGAATATAAGCGGCACATCCTTTGAAGTGTCTTCGAGAGAGCTTTGGGCCCACAGAAGAACACGCCGATGCTGCTGCTGCGGGGGGAAGACAGGGAGGAGAGCGTCACGCAGGTCAAGGGTAGCCCAAAGCCAAGGTAGAACTGCAAAACCGGGAGGTGGTCGTGGTTGTGCCTTGACTTACTGCTTTGTCTCCTCGCACTTCCTTTTCCTCAGGTTCTCTTTTCCAGTTTTCTGAACCATGGTCTCCCAAAGACCCCGGGGTCCTGTTATGCCCTAAATCACACAGGTAGGCGGGGCCAAGGAGATTGAGGCTGGTGAGGTCTTGGTGACCGGGGAGGATGTTTCAATACAGAGGTGATACAGCCCGGATTTTTGGCCTGGTGACTTTGATTCATGTGTTCTTACATTGGATGGTAGGATGTAAGCTCCTCGAAGCAGAAGCCTGGTGTGTGTTACTCATCTTTTACTGCAACCCCACCACCCAGAGTGGCGCCTGGCACACCGCAGACAATGAGTAAGCATTTACTGAATGACTGCATACGTGGTTGTGAAATACAAAGATAATAAACACCACATCGTATGTTTTGTGGAAAGTAAAATGTGATAATGCAGTCAGAAAGACTTTAAAAGTGTTAGTTGCGCCCTGGCCAGTTTGGTTCAGCGGTTAGAGTGTCGGCCTGCGGTCCTGAGAGACCCGGGTTCGGTTCCCGCTAAGGGCGCGTACCTCGGTTGCAGTTTGTCCCCGGCCCTGGTCGGTTGTGCGGGTGGCAGCCACTCGATGTGTTCCTTTCACATCGATGTTTCTCTCTCTCTCTCTGTTCCTCTCTCTCCCTCCCATTCTACCTGAACAAAAAATGGAAAAATGTCCTCGGGTGAGGATAAAAAAAAAAAAAATAAATAAATAAAAATAAAAGTGTTAGTTGCTACTAATATGCTGTTCAACCTGCCATTTTATACAGTATAATATATACAAAAGTCATAACAACCTCGTTTATTTCTCCTGTTGGGATTTTTTTTTTTCGTTTCGAAGAAGGACAAACAAGAAAAGTTGGAGAGGAAAAGACATTGTCAGCTGGTATCCTAGCATCACAGAGAATTGTGTTGAAGAGGATTATTGCGTAGTGATGGTCCCAGGGATGCTCGAATCCCCTGTGACCGCTACTGCCAACTCTGCTGATACATAAACAACGCCCTCGGTGAAAAGACGCAGGTTCTCTCTGGAAGCTGGGGGGGGCTGGTCTCTATATGGACTCGTAGAGACCATGTTTTCCTTTGTCTTGCATTGTGCCATTCTTTACATCATGTTTCCAGCCTCTGGCATGGTTTAATTAGTTACTGTAGTCTCTATCAAAAGTTCTACTTTGCTGTGCATAAAATTATCTGGGCAGACTGTGAAAACTTAGGTTCCCAGGCCAGGGAATGCATTTTCACCAAGGCCCCCGCGTGACATTGAGGCACATGCTGTATGGACCACACTTTGAGAAATACTGTCTTAACGGGATTCTTCCCATGCCAGGCTCTGCCCACCACACCACCTCCAGCTCTTGGTCTCTAGCCTTTGTTAGGGTGTGCTGCTACACCTCATCCTACCTAGCTTATCTATTAGTGTGGTTCTCTGCCATGTGTCATATCATCATTTAATCATGTGTTCCAGGACCGCATATCTATGGTAGAAATTGATGGTCCAATCACATCTCAAACGCTAGCTTCAAAGAAACTTACCAAGTGGAATCATTTGTAAATGACAATATGTTTAAAATGTGTACATCTTATTTTTAAAGACATCATTCTCATGGCTAAATTCGAGAAAGTACTTCTTTTGGTAAACACTTCTTACTGAAAAATAGGAGTTTATGACTCCCTAAAGCAAGTGCGAGGTGTTTATGGACATGTAAGGCAGCCGTTAGGAGTGCTGTTGGTCTCACCCCTTTGCTGCTGATCAACTTTGGGCACATCGAGTACCTCCTCAAAGCCGTTTCCTCGTCTGTAAGATGGAAGAATGGCAGTACCCCTTCCTCGAACCCCCGTGAGGAGTGGCCACACTGAGGCGCAGCTTCTGCCCCACGCTCGGTGCCCAGCGAGCCCTCAGAACAGCTCACGTCAGGACCCTGGCGATGTCTGCCTGCTCCGGAAGCCTAACGGCAGACACGGAGTGGGCTGTTAACCCAGGGATGATAACAGACTCCCGGATCAACACTCCATCACTAGGTTTTCTGAGCTCTGGACCAAAACATGTTGAGTGATACATGGATCAGGCAAAACCTTTCCCAGTGAGAAGTCACAGCTTGGCTCTGCGTCTGCTGCCCAGAGGTATCCCCGAATCTAGGTTCAGATGCTGTCATGGGCAGTGATTTTTTCTATGAGCATAGGTGTCACCACAGAGAGTGCTGCTGGCCTGGCCCGACAGGCTAAGACCGCCTTCGGCTAGGCCACCCTAGGACGCTCTGCCTGGAAGCCCCCATTTCAAAGGATGCTGACTGTCGGCTGCCAGGTGGGCCACTGCTGTCCCCAGTTGTTCACAGCTGCCCTGTCTCTTTTGAAGTTGTGGCTATTACAAGGTGCAGCTAAATCTCACAAAAGCCATTTATTGTCTACCTTCCACTAAGGGGGACAGGTCAGTCCTTCAGCAGCAAATCGTGCCTCCCTGTCCCCACACGGCATTCTGCTGCTTGCCTTGTTTACCCTGCTCAGCATCTGTGACTTCAAACGTGGCGATTTCTTGTCACAAAATGAACTGCAGCTCACGGAGCGGAGCATCCGCCCAAAGTGGAAAAGACACAGATTGTAGCTGTATTTTTTTTTTTCTCCCCTTTATGAGGCATGGACAAGTGCAACAGAACCCTAATGGGGTTGGTAACAAAAAAAATTCTTCTATAAAATTTAATTACCCACGATCGCTTAGAATGAAAAAGAACAGATTCTCGCTGGAAGAGGTACGACAGCACGGGGCATTATTCTTCAGTTTACAGCCCCCCAGCTCGCATGCGCAGGAGGAGCCGACCAGGGACGGCTGGGCGCTGATAGGTCCGAGCTGCTGACTTTGATGAGAAAGGGGCAAATTTTACGCAAGCTGCAAAGACAGTTCACATTATAGCACTGCATTTAAAGAAAACCCGCGTTCTCCTCTCTTATCTGCTAAATAACTATCTCCTTTTCTCTGTGGGGTTGGTGCATTTTTCAAAACCGGTTCAGCAGTGCCAGGCATGGAAGGCACTGAGAACACCCCCCACCAGATTGCGTCCGGCAGATATGTGGGAGACGGTGCGCCGGGGGTCGCCCCACGTCTTCCTGGGTTCTCAGCGTCTGCTGCCTTGAGCCCCTCTCTCTTTAAATTGTATGTTTGTTTTTATGGGTTGGCTTTTATGCTTGGTAAGTTATAACCCTGTAGGGGCAGACCCTAAACCCCATTAAAAAAAAATCAAATTACTTTATACCCTGAGTGCTTTTCTGCAAATAAAATCGATCAACAGAAGCTTCCCCTGAACTCATGAAGGCGTAGGAGGAAGACAACGAGAAGGACAAACAACTCCTGGGGACTCTTCCTAGAGGATGCTGTGCATTACAAATGCCTCCGAATGACCCCCACATAATTATGTTCCGTCAATGCTTTCCCGGTCATCACCACGGATGGTCATCGCGTTGGCCAGTTTCTCTCCTTCCCCGCCTCGCAGCTGAGCAGCAGCAGCCTGTCCTGTTTCTTCTGGGCACCCGAGCCGCAGCGAGGGCCTGCAGCTGCCCGGCCAGCTCGCTCACTGCTGTGGCCTCCTGCCCCCTTCCCAGCGCCATCCTCTCTGGCACGAGTCAGGACTCCTGTCCCAGCGTCCGCCTCCTTCTAACTGAGGCTGGTCACTGCTCGGCTCTGAGGAGCATACATAAAGTTGCTGTCCTTGCCCTGGCCAGTTTGGCTCAGCGGTTGGAGCGTCGGCCTGCAGTCCAGAGAGACCCGGGTTCGGTTCCCGCTAAGGGCATGTACCTCGGTTGCGGTTTGTCCCTGGCCCTGGTTGGTCATGCAGGTGGGTGTCAGCCACTCGATGTGTCCCATTCACGTGGATGTTTCTCCCTCTCTCTGTCTCTTCCTCTCTCTCCCTCCCACTCTATCTGAACAACAACAACAAAAAAAGTTGCTGTCCTTGACCATGTCACGGTCAAATAGGCAAGAGAAATGTAGTTGACTTATAGCATTGGATCCCTGGAAACGGATTGGCCCATGCCAATCTTGTCCCCTCCTTCTCTCTGATAAAACTCTACATATATCCACTTTCATATAGAAAGATCCTAGTAGTTTTGCCACAGCTAATGATATGATAGATAACATCACCAAAGAAACTGCAGAGTGATGGTACACCTACCTTGTGCTCACCCACCTCCCCAATCCCGCCTACGACAAAGGAGTAAAGTCAGTAACTTTCATGGAATCTTCGCTTGATTATAAATGAAGAGCTGGTATCGTCTAGTGAAAAGATACTATGTAAACATGAGCACGATATCCCAGTCATAAATATACGATGGTGTTAGTTTTCTCATGGAGATGTAATTGGTCATGGGTGGGGTTTCCTTTTAAGTGCATTTGTTTGAGTATTCTGAACATTTTAGCCCTGTAATGAATGCTTCTTATTCCTGTTAAACAGAACGTTAATTTCTTAAAAATATCATTTAAAAACACTTTGCACATGTGCACGCACACATGAGAATTGGAGGCTGTGCACACAAGCAAGTGTGGTTCCAGATGGACACATTTACTCAATTTAGCATAAAGGTATTTTTACATTTCTGAAAACAATGGGTGGTCTGAAATACATTCATGTGATATGGATTAGAGGCTCCCAAAAGTCTCTCCCCATCATTGGGTTGAGTTGAACTGTTCTAACAAATGGTTGTACTCTTTCATTCTTTATTATTTACTTCCAGATGAAAGGAACACTTCTACTGAAGTTATGAAAAAATGGCCAACTCTTCAAAGTTTTTATGGTAATTAATTAGATAAAGTCTCACGCCTACAAGGCATGGTGAAGTTATTAGTGGATAAGTCGCAAATGGCAAACCATAAATATTATGTGAAGTGTGAGATCAAAGAT